GGTCTTCCTGTACACTTAACCTCCACCACATTCTCTTCTTTAAGAACAGTGCTAACAAAGGTAAGTGTATTAGAGCTCTCCAGAGAAACAGAAACAAGTGTGTGTGTGTGTGTGTGTGTGTGTGTGTATTTGATAACTGTATCCTCTAGATAGCTATGGATATATATACACAGATTTATATTCATTTATAATATGATATACCAGATACAAAATATACACACATACACATACATATCTAGAAAGAGGGAGGGAAAGATATTCATTTTAAATCATTGGCTCACGAAATTATGAGATTCCGAGACCTGGCAAGTGGAACGTCTTCAGGGTAGACCAGCAGGCTGGAAATTCTAGCACGGGTGGATATTGCAATCTTGAATCTGAAGATAGCCTGGAGGTGGAATGTTTTCTTTTTTCAAAAGGTTAATTAGGGGCTGGCTGTGGCATAGCAGGTTAAAGCCCTGGCCTGAGGTGCCGGCATCCCATATGGGCGCCAGTTCTAGTCCCAGCTGTTCCACTTCTGACCCAGCTCTCTGCTATGTCTTGGGAAAGCAATAGAAGATGGCCCAAGTCCTTGGGCCTGCACCCACATGGGAGACCCGGAGGATGCTCCTGGCTCCTGGCTTCAGATCAGCACAGCTCCGGCCGTTGCGGCCATCTGGGGAGTGAACCATAGGATGGAAGACCTCTCTCTTTGTTTCTACCTCTCTTTGTAACTCTGTCTTCCAAATAAATAAATAAAATCTTTAAAAAAAGTTTAATTAATTAATCTGGAAAGAAAGAAAGAAGGAAAGAAAGAAAGAGAGAAGGAAAGAAAGAAAGAGAGAGAGAGAGAGAGAAAGAAAGAGCACTACCATCCACTGATCCATTCCCCAAATGGTGAGACCAAAGCCAGAAGCCAGGAACTCTATCCGGATCTGCCACATGGGTGGTAGGAACTCAGATACTTGAGCCACCTCCTGCTGCTTTCTAGGCACATTAGTAGAGAGCTGAATAGGAAACAGAGCATCCAGGACTCTGGTGTGAAGTGTGGGCTGCTAGCAGTGACTTAACTCCTGTGCCACAACGTCTGACCCAGAATTCTCTATTTTTGGGAAGTACTCAATCTGTTCTCTTAAGGCCTTCCTTCCAGTGATTGAATGAGGCTTACCCAAGTTGTGGGGGTAATCTTCACTCAAAGTGTAAATATTAAGTTAACAACATCTGAAAATACCTTCACAGCAACAGCTGGACCATTGTCTGACCAAACAAGTGGGTACCATGGCCTAGCCACATTGACACATTAAAATTAACCACCACAAACAAACTAGAAGAAAGGATTTTAATATTTTCACCACAAAGAAATGTAAAATGTTTGAGGAGATATTGATATATATGTTTATCTTGAATGGCTATTGCACAATGTATTCATGTATTAAAATATCACATGGTACCCAATAAATATGTAAAATATTTATGTGTCAGTTAAATACATTACATTTATGGAAATCAACCATCACGGTAATTAAAGGGATCAATTTTTATCTTCTTTCCATAATGAAAATAAAGGCAAGGGACTTGCCCAAATGTACCCAGAGATGTTGAAACATGAATTAGTTAAAAAAGAAAAAAGAAGCAGAATCCAGAATTTTAGATCTGCTAACTCACCAAATGTGTCTTCACTTGTTTATTAGTTCAGGTGGACAACAATGGAAACCAAGACTGCTCTTGATTTAACACACAGTCCTTTAAAGCATTTATATTTTCTTAATACAATTTAAGCTTAATGTTAGTATCATGTCATATTCCCCTAAAACATCTGACTCAATTATGTTAACTAGGAATAAGTAGTTTTTCTCTATAAAAATTTTGTTGAATGAACGACTGATTTTTGAATGAGATTTAAGGATGCATTTAAATACAATTGTATGGCCAGTACACTTAGTTCTACTTTATTTGACTAGAAAGAAGGCAGAAGCATTTGGAAAGAGAAATGCAAAATTTGCAGAGAAGGAAAAGACAAAAAACATCCAAGAATCAATACTACAAGAAGACTAAAGACTGATATCCAAATTAGAATGTATTTTATTTGTGATTTTAAATATTTTGTATTTTCTCTTTAATTTCTAGACAGAATTATGAAAAAATAAATGAATAAACATTAGAATAATTAATAATTAGCTAAACCAGACTTGCACAATTGGGGAAAAATTGGTAGGTTTTGAAGCCTCTGTTAGGCTTCCCACTCTCCTCATTCTAAGATTTTATTGTGCTGACAGCCACTTCCTTACTACCTGCCAATCAGCAGCATTCTGGCTCAGCCTCTGCCTTCTCCTCACACGAGTGTGATCCTAGTGAGAGAAAACTGGAATCTGCTGTCTTGAATATAGAGCTCACTGTTCCTACAGAAACATGGGATGTATTTAAATATATAATTTCTCTGTAAAATCTAGCAATCAAAAAATTGTGCTGGGAAAGCTTTTCTTCTTAATTTTATTTGTTTGAAAGGCAGAATTACAGAGACAGAGCAACATCCACTGGTTCATCACCCAAATGGCCTCAAGTCCAAGGCTGGGTCAGGCTGAAGCCAGGAGCCAGGAGCTTTATCCCAGTCTCCTATGTGTGTGCAGGGGCCAGAAGACTTGGGCCACCCTCCACTGCCTTCCCAGCTGTACTAGCAGGGAGCTGGATCGAAAGTGGAGCAGCCAGGACTCAAACCAGTGCAATAGGATGCTGGCATTGCAGGTGGTGATCCAAGCCATTATGCCACAGTACCAGCCCCTAAAATGCCATAAACCAGAGTGTCAAATTGTTAAGTCAACAACAGGAGTCACTGTGTACTTACTTCTCATGTGGGATCTGTCCTTAATGTGTTGTCCAATGTGAAGTAATGCTATAACTAGTACTGAAACAGTATTTTACACTTTGTGTTTCTGTGTGGGTGCAAACTGATGAAATCTTTACTTAATATATACTAAATTGATCTTCTGTATATAAAGATAATTGAAAATGAATCTTGATGTGAATGGAATGGGAGAGGGAGCGAGAGATGGGAGGGGTGCTAGTGGGAGGGAAATTATGGGGGGGAAAGCCATTGTAATCCATAAACTGTACTTTGGAAATTTATATTTACTAAATAAAAAAGAAAAGAGAAAAAAAATATATTTTAGGGGCCAGCACTGTGGCATAGCGGGTAAAGCCGCTGCCTGCTGTTCTGGCATCCCATTTGGGCACCGTTTGAGTCCCGGCTGCTCCACTTCCGATCCAGCTCTCTGCTATGGCCTGGGAAAGCAGTGGAAGATGGTGAAAATCCTTAGGTCCCTGCATCCATGTGGGAGACCCGGGGGAGGCTCTTGGTTCCTGACTTCAGAATGGCACAGTTCTGGCTGTTGCGGCCAATTGGGGAGTGAACCATCAGATGGAAGACCTCTCTCTCTCTCTCTCCGCCTTTCCTTCTCTCTCTGTATAACTCTGACTGTCAAATAAGTGAATAAATCTTTAAAAATATATTTTAAGTAAGTACTCAGGAAATCTTCATCATGCCATTGCAAGTCAATAATCCACAAAACATTAACCATTACTTTGATTTCTATTACTCTAAATTATTTGTGCTGTTTTTGAACCTCACCTGTAACTAATCATAAAGTAGCTATGATTTTGTGTCTGGCTTATGTTGCTAAAAAATATGTCAGTGTGATTCATCCAGCTGTTGAATGTAGCAGTAATTTATTTTCCTTGTCATATAGTATTTCATGATATGAATTTGCTACAACTTTCTGTTCTACTTTGATAGACATTTCCAATGTTTAGCTATTTGTAAGGAACAGTGTTCAGGAATGCACTTGTTTAGGAGGAATAACTTCTAATGTTCTACAGCGTGACGGAATAACTATGGTTAACATAATTGTAAAATTCAAAATAGCTAATGGAGAGGATTTCATATGTTTCCAAGACAATGAAATAGTAAATATCTGAGATGCTGAATATGCCAGTTACTCTGACTGGATCATTATACACTGTGTACATGTATAGAAATATCATGTTATACCCCATAAATATGTACAATTACTATGTATCTATTAAAATAATAAAGAGAATATACAGGGAAAATAAAAAGATACACACTGGATAATTAAGTGTGCATCAGACTGTTGTAAGTCTTGAGTGTACATTTAATTTGATAGGAAGAGCCAAAAGCTGAATGATTTTAATTGGGAGTTGTATGTTTGGAATATTAATTTGATGTTATCAGCGGATCAGTAAGAGTTGAAAATAGCTAGGCAAATAATGGGTAAAGGTTTTAGCCAATGTATTTATTTTTTTCCTTTTTTTAAAAAAAGATTTATTTTTTGAACAGCAGAGATGGAGAAAAAGAAGGAAAGAAAGTGTGTGTGTGTGTGTGTGTGTGTGTGTGTGAGAGAGAGATCTTCCACCCTCTGGCTCACTCTCCAAATGGCCGCAATGGCCAGGGCTGGGCCAGGCTGAAGTCAGCAGCCAGGAGCTTCTTCTGGGTCTCCCACATGGGTGCAGGGGCCCAAGCACTTGGGTCATCTCCCACTACTTTCCCAGGCGCATTAGCAGGGAGCTGGATTGGAAGTGGAGCAGCTGGGACTCAAACCAGCATCCATGTGGTATGCCAACACTGCAGGCAGAGGCTTAACCCTCTTTGTCATGGGGCTGGTCCCTGTATTTCTTCTTATTAAGACTCAGTGATCTCATCTATAAGACAGGAACAATTATGCCTAGGGCTTGGTGGTTGTGAGCAAATACAAGGTGTACATGAAATGCCTGTCATGACTCCTGATATGGTGGGTATATTGTAACAATCACTATTAAATTGCTTTATATTCTATATGCCTTGATATAAACAGCAAGTTAGATAGGAACACAAACTCACTTCAACTAGCCTATTCCTGCTTTTTTTTAACAAGAAGATTTATTTATTTATTTTGAAAGTCAGAGTTAACAGAGAGAGAGAGAGAGAGAGAGACAGGAGACAGAGAGAGAGAGAGAGAGAGAGACCATCCATCTGCTGGTTCACTCCCCAAATGGCCCCCAATGGCCAGGGCTGGGTCAGGCTGAAGCCAGGAGCCAGGAACTTCATCTAAGTCTCCTGCAAGGGTGGCAGGGGCCCAAGCACTTGGACCATCTCCCATTGCCTTTCTGGGCCATTAGCAGGGATCCAGACCAGAAGAGGAGCAGCTGGGACTCCATACAGGATGCTGTGGTGCAGTCTGCGGTGTTACCTGCTACTCCACAACACTGGTTCCTTAGAGCTGAATTATTCTTCATTTTCACCCAGCAGGTTCCTTTGGAGAGCTCACTGGATGGATGCTCTGAACCAAACAAGAGTGACTGAATTTGTCTTCTTGGGACTCACTGATAACTGGGTGCTGGAGATACTGTTTTTCATGGCATTCTCTGTCACCTACATGCTAACTCTTCTGGGAAATAGTCTCATTGTCCTTACCACAGTCTTTACTCCGCGTCTCCACACCCCCATGTATTTCTTCTTGAGCAACCTGTCCTTTATTGACATCTGTCACTCATCTGTCACCGTGCCCAAGATGCTGGAGGGCTTTGTTTTGGAGAGGAAGACTATTTCCTTTGACAACTGCATCGCTCAGCTCTTCTTCCTGCATCTTTTCGCCTGTGCTGAGATCTTTCTGCTCACCGTCATGGCGTACGACCGTTACGTGGCCATCTGCGCCCCACTGCACTACCCCCAGGTGATGAACATGAGGGTCTGTGTGCATCTTGTCTTTGCCCTCTGGCTGGGGGGGACCGTTCACTCTCTAGTGCAGACCTACTTGACCATCCGCCTACCTTACTGTGGCCCCAACATCATCGACAGCTACTTCTGTGATGTGCCCCCTGTCATCAAGCTGGCCTGCACAGACACATATCTTACAGGAATGCTCATTGTGTTCAACAGTGGAACCATCTCCCTCACTTGCTTCCTGGCCCTGGTCACTTCTTACACGGTCATCTTGGTTTCTCTTCGGAAACAGTCGGCTGAGGGGCGCCGGAAAGCCCTGTCGACGTGCTCCGCCCACTTCATGGTGGTGGCGCTCTTCTTTGGGCCGTGTATCTTCCTCTACACTCGGCCCGACAGCAGCTTCTCCACTGACAAGGTGGTGTCTGTCTTCTACACAGTGATCACCCCTTTGCTGAATCCTCTCATTTACACCTTGAGGAACGAGGAGGTAAAAAGTGCCATGAAGCAGCTGACGCAGAGACGAGTTTTTTCCTGATGCACCTTGGGATTGCAGACATAATTGTGCTCACATAATGAGAAAGCGAAGTAGGGAAAGTATAAGGTAAAACGGCACAAGGCAGGGCTGATTTCTGACCTACAGAGAGAAGCTATGACATGTACATGAGGCTGGTGTTGTGGTACAGCGGGTTAAGCTGCCTTCTGTGCTGCTGGCATCCCACAGGGCTGCTGGTTGGAATCCCAGCTGCTCCACTTACTATGCAGCTCCCTGCTAATGTGCCCTGGAAAGCAATGGAAGATGGCCCAAGTGTCTGGGCCCTTGCCATCTGTGTGAGCTACCTGGAAGGAACTCCTGGCTTGGCCTGGCCTAACCCTGGTCACGGTGGCCTTTTGGGAAGTGAACCAGCAGATGGAAGATCCATCTCTCTGTCTCTCTCTCTCTCTGTTTCTGTAACTCTGCTTTTCAAATAAATAAATCTTTATAAAAAAAAATCTATTACATGTAGGTCCAACACTGTGGCATAGCAGTAGTCACCACCTGAGGCACCAGCATCCCATATGGGTGCTGGTTTGAGTCCTGGCTGCTCCACTTCTGATCCAGCTCCCTGCTAATGTTCCTGGAAGAGCAGCGGAAGATGAACCAAGTTCTTGGGTCCCTGTACCCACACAGGAGACCAGACAGAAGCTCCTGGCTCCTGGCGTCTGATTGGCCCAGCTCTGGCCATTGCAGCCATTTGGAGAGTGGACCAGTGAATGGAAGATCTCTCTCTCTCTCTCTCCCTCTTCTCTCTCTTTGCATGTAGTGTAATTCCATCTTTCAAATAAATAAATAAATAAATCTTTTTTTTTTTAAAAACTTAGATCATGGTGAAATATGTAAGGAAAAAGAACCCCCAAAAGTTTCCAGAAGGCCTCTGTTTTCACCAGCAGAAGCACACAGTTTGGGGCCTGCAGTTCAGTTTCAGCCCCAGGAGCAGGCATGGCTGTGAGAAGCTCTCTCCTGATCTACTCTGTTCTGGGGGTTGTTGCCTCTGGGAAGCTGTACATCACAGCTGGGTTTTATACATTGTGATTCAATCTTGCTCTCAAATATGTTTTCCACAAATTAAATAAGCCTTTCTAATTTACATGAAATTAAACTTTGCTGCATTTGGATGTGATTCTTTCACTATGTCTAGGTCTGTTTTGTACTTTCTGTGATCGCAATGGCCCCAGCTGAGGCCAGGAGCCATGAGCTTCATCTGTGTCTCCCACATGGGTGGCAGGGGCCCAAGCATTTGGATCATCTTTGCTGTTTTTCCCAGGCCCTTAGCAGGGAACCGGATCAGAAGTGGAGTTGCTGGGACATGAGCTGGTGCCCATATCAGGGACTGGTGTTGCAGACGGTGGCTTTACTTGCAGCACCACAATGCCACCACCCTACCCCATGCAAAATAGTGTTTTAACTGCTGTGCTAAATGCCCACCTCAAGTTACAGAGAAAGGGAGAGACACAGAGAGAGGTCTTCCATCCCCTGGTTCTCTCCCCAAATGGCTACAATAGCTGGAGCTTTGTTGATCTGAAGACAGGAAACAGGAGCTTCTTCTGGGTCTCCCATGCAGCTTCAGGGGCCCAAGCACTTGGGCCATCCTCTGCTGCTTTCCCAGGCCATAGCAGAGACTTCAATTGGAAGAGGAGCAGCTGGGACTAGAATTGATGCCTGTGTGGAATGCTGGTGCCGCAGGAGGAGGCTTAACAGTATGCCACAGGCCAGCCCCGTTTTGTAAGTTTTGACAAAGGTATACATAAGCCTGTGTAACCACCTTCCTAATCAGACTACTGAAAATTTTCACCACCCCCAAAACTTACCTTTAGCCCCCTCCCAGCTATTCCCTCTATCTCCACTTAAGGATCCAAGGATCTGATTTTTGTTACTATAATAAGATTTGCCTTTCTTGGAGTTCATATAAATTGGATCATATGAGTACAGTACATACCCTTTTGTGTAGGGCTTCTTTTGCTTTCCTTGTTGTCTCTGAGATGAATCCATGTTTGGGTATCTGTAGTTTTTTTTTTTTTTTTAAGATTTATTTGTGTGTGTGTGTGTGTGTGTGTGTGTGTGTTTGTGTATGAGATAAAGTGAGAGAGAGCCAGCAAACGATCTCTCTGCCATCTGCTGGTTCACTCCCCAAATGACTGCAGTGGCTGGGGACAGGAGCCAGGAACTCCATCCAGGCCTACCACATTATTGCAAGGGCTCTGTACTTGGGCTGTTTTCTGCTGCTTTCCCAGGCACATTGGTAGGGAGTTTGATGGGAAGTGGAGCAGCTGGGACATGGACCAGTGCTCATGTGGGATGCCAGCATTGCAGGCGGCAGCTTAACCTGCTATGGCACAATGCCATGCCAGCCCCTATTTATGATTTTATATATATATATTAAGATTTATTTATTTATTTGAAAGACAGAGTTATAGAGAGGCAGAGGCGAGAGAGAGAGAGGTAGATCTTCCATCTGCTGGTTCACTCCTCAAATGGCTGCAATATACAGAGCTGGACCAATCCAAAGCCAGGAGCCAGGAGCTTCTTTCAGGTCTCCCACATGGGTGCAGGGGCCCAGGGACTTGGGCCATCCTCTACTGCTTTCCTAGGCCACAGCAGAGAGCTGGATCAGAAGTGGAACAACCAGAACTCAAACGGGTGCCCATATGGGATTCCAGCACTGCAGGCAGTGGCTTTAATTGCTATGCCACAGCATCAGCCCCTGTGATTTCAATTTTTATCTTTTTGCCATTGTGTGTATGTTTTGCATAGAAGATGTTTATTTGATATATATCTTGCCATTTTTTTTCATTCCATGTGTTGCAACTTAGTTTTCTTAATGGTATTTTTTGAAGAGCAGAAGTTGTAAATTTTGTTAAATCTAATTTATTAATTACTCAAAATTTTATAGTTCATACTTTTTGTGTCTTATGAAAGCTTTACCTACCTAAAACTTTTTCTCTTGGAAATTTTATAGTTTTAGCTTTGAATTCCAGATCTGTGATTCATATTTGTAAACGATGTATTTATTTATTTGAAAAGCTGAGTGACAGAGAGAGAGGAGAGATGGAAGGAGAGACAGAAAGAGAGAGAAGGAAATATCTTCCATCTGCTGCTTCACTCCTCTAATGGCTGCTACACCAAGTGTAGGCCAGGCTGAAGACAAGAGCCAGGAACTTCATCTTGGTGGGAGAGGCCCAAGAACTTGGGATAGCTTCTGATGCTTTTCCAGGCAGAGTAGTAGGGATCAGCTGGGACTCAAACTGATACCAAATACCTGCCCTGTAGGAAAATTTGAAATTACAAATTAGATTTGTTTTATAAAATACAGGACTATTTCCATTTTTCATTACTTCTTCAGTTGTTAAAATCTACACATTTGGAGAGAACGATCCAACATGGGAAGCGGGATACACAGCAGACTCATAGAATGGCAGATGTCCTAAACAGCACTCTGGCCTCAGAATTAGCCCTTAAAGCATTCTGATCTAGCTAAAAAGCCCATGAGAGTATTTCAGGCATGGGAAGCCAAGACACTCTGGCAAAAAAAAAAAAAAAAGTGACTTAAATGAAAGATCTCTGTTAGTGAGATCCCAGCAGAAAGAATGGGCCATCAAAGAAGGAGGTACCTTTCTCTGAAGGGAGGAGAGACATTCCACTTTGATTATGGCCTTGTCTAAATAAGATTGGAGTTGGCGAACTCAAGAGACTTCCATAGCCTTGGCAACTCATGACAAGAGCCTAGTGTGATTACTGACGCAATAAATAAGAGTGTCAATTGTTAAATCAACAACAGGAGTCACTGTACACTTACTCCCCATGTAGGATCTCTGTCCTTAATGTGTTGTATTATGTGAATTAACGGTTTAACTAGTACTCAAACAGTACTTTACACTATGTGTTTCTGTGTGAGTGCAAACTGTTGAAATCTTTACTTGGTATATACTAAATTGATCTTCTGTATATAAAGATAATTGATAATGAATCTTGATGTGAATGGGATGGGAGAGGGAGTGGGAGATGGGATGGTTGCGGGTGGGAGGGTGGTTATGGGGGGAAAAAGCCGCTATAATCCAAAAGTTGTACTTTGGAAATTTATATTTATTAAATAAAAGTTAAAAAAATTAGGTAAGTACAAAAAAAACTATGCTGTTTGAGGGAGTCTGCCTGTTATACTTTTTTATGTAAATGGTAACATTATTTTAAATGGGAAAGGTTGAGGGAGTTTTTCTTCCCTCTAGGTGGGAACTAAATGTTCTATTTAATCGTGCTACATTTGAGACCCTTTCTGGATACCCAAGTGTGATGGCATATGAGTTTCAGGACAGAGGTGAGGTCTAGAGAGAAACTCAAGGGATCAATAGCAGATCAAGTTTTTAAAGTCATAGGATTGGATGAGATCACTAGGGAAATTATGTATATAAAGAAGACTAAGAAATGAAGCCTTAGGCAAACCTTTCAGGCTTATATTTTTAAACAAAATCTTTTAATTCCATTTTCAATTAACTTTTTCTTTGAAAGGCAAAGATAAAGAGAGACAGGGAGACAGAGATGACAGAACTCCCATTTGCTGGTTTACTCCCCCAAAGTCCACATCAGCTAAAGCCAGGAGCTAGGAACTCAATCCAGGTCTCCCAGGTGGGTGGCAAAGGCCTAACTAGTTGAGCCATCACTTGGTACCTCCCAGGGTTTGCATTCCCAGGAAGCTGGAATTGGGAGCTATAGCCAGAACTCAGATCCAAGCACTCTGATATGAAACATGGGTAATAGAACTGATGGCTTAACCAATTTTTCAAATTCCCACCCTGAAACCCAATTTTTTTAAAAAAAAGATTTACTTATTTATTTGAAAGTTGGAGTTAGAGAGAGGGAGAGACAGAGATCTTTCAACTGCTGGTTTACTCCCCAAACAGCCACAACAGCCAGGGTTGGGCCAGGCCAAAGCTAGGATCCAGGAGCTTCTTCCAGGTCTCCCATGTGGGTGCAGGGGCCCAAGCATTGGGGTCATCTTTCATTGCTTTCCCAGGGAGCTGGATAAGAACTGGGACAGCCAGGACTGGAACCGGTACTCAGGGGATGCTGGCGCTGCAGGCAGCAGATTAACCCACTACGCCACAATGCCAGCCCCCCTTTCTATTCACTTATATATTATTAATTTTTCCCAAGGCTTATTTCTTAAGCTTTATTAGGTTGGCTGTATAATCTCTTTTACTCAAGGGTTATTTTAGTTCCACTCCTAATATGCATACGTGGCCTTTTAGGTCTCTACTAGTGTCTGGAGATCCCCGCCTCATGGTATTGATGCCTTTGCATAATGTCATTTGCTTGAGAGTGGACAGGATGTGTAACAGCAAAAGACTATGGCAAAGATGAAGGCGTATCCTTTCTATGATTAGTTTAGATTTGATGGTGACTTTTTTTTTCTTTTAAGATTTATTTATTTATTTAAAAGGCAGAGTTAGAGAGAGGCAGAGGCAGAGATTAAAGAGAGAGGTCTTCCATCCACTGGATTGCTCTCCAGAGCTGAGCTTATTTGAAGCCAGGAGCCAGGAAATTCCTCTGGGTCTTCCG